GAAGAGCGTTTGTTCTAATAGTTAACATGATTTAAAAGTTTTTATAAGATGTTTGTTAATCACTTCCTTTTTTGCTGGAAATTGTGGCTAATGCTGTGTTCATTTGTGTAATTCTGTTTGGTACTCATCTAGGCATCATCTCATTGTTTTGTTTAAGCAGGTTTAATTGCCCATTTGTATGCCCATCCTTCCTATGATCCTTCTGCTGTAGGCCCTCTGGAGCTGGCTAATGCACTAGCAGCTTGCTGCCTCTCTTCAAGGTTATCTTCACAGCATAGGCAGTGGGCTGCTCAGCAGCTGGTGCGAACACTTGCAGCGCACGACCGAGATAATCAAAGTGTTCCTCAGACCCTCGCTGATGTGGGGGGAGACTTACGAAAATGTTCCTTCATAAAACTAGAGGCTCATCAGAACAGGGTAAGCATGACTTCACCCAGAATTGCATGATTTTAATACTCTCTTTTGTAGAGTACAGAAAAAGTAAAATACTATTATTTTACAAATACATTGACTGAAAGATTTCCCACAAGAAGTAACTTTTTGGAGCTAAAGTAAGTTATTGCTTGAGGATACCTGTGATGCAGAAAAGTGCCTAACTTCGAAGCTTCATTCAAAGAGGATATGAAAATTCTCACAGTACGTGAAGTCAGCGGAATCACCCTAAATCTTTTCTTAGACTAGAGCTTAATTTGCATTAATTTTTCTTTCACAGTAGTTAACGTCTTTGTCTAGTATTCTGTGCAGTAGTGGCCCTTGGAGTACAGGTCTGAACAAAATGTAGTATCCTTAGAAAGCATGCTTAATTACAGTACACAATACTGTGAAAGTAGAAAAATCTACCTTGTTTGATTGTTACAGCGTATTGCAGTAACGTAGCTAATCCTCCGTCCTGTAGGTTAGTGTTTCCTTAATAGTGAACAAACATACTTGAGCTTTTGGTTTAAATTCCTGGTTTGGCATAATTACTTTGGTATTTGTAGGTCATGACATGTATTTGGTGCAATAAGAAGGGACTTTTGGCAACTAGTGGAAATGATGGAACCATAAGAGTGTGGAACGTTACGAAGAAGCAGTATTCATTGCAACAAACGTGTGTGCTCAGCAAGCTGTAAGTTGATGCTTTATAATAGTCAGCTATTGAATTTAAGCTGTAGTTGTGGAAAAGAAAGAGGGTACCCCCCCCTGCCGCATCTCCTGTGCAGACATTCTCTGCTTTTGTCTCTGGGACTTTAGGTGTGTTTATGGCATGTAAAGTAAATTAAATAGCTGAAAACTGAAAACAGATCTTAAATATCAACCCGATAAGGGTCGGTAGAAAGACATCATGCTAAAGCTGTTTCAAGATATTCTTAATTAATTAATGCAATGAGGAATGGGTGAAATAAAAACTGAAAGGGATTGTCATATGAAAAAAAACTGAATGTCCCCTCAGTGGGTTCCCGTGGACAGTTCCAACGTGTAATGTGATAATTATGTGTGTGCTGATTGAAGTCAAGTGTGAGAAAAGAATTTGTGACTTCTGGGATTCAGGAGATGAGCGCAATTCTTCATGAGAGTGTCTGACAAGTACTTTTGTATCATTTGGATGTGTCAAAAAAAGAAGAAAGTAAAAAGAAGAGGTTTAAATCTAATTGTTCAGTACAGTTTAGGTGAGTTTAGCTCAGGAGAATGGAGAAACAACAGTGAACTAGAAGGTTGTTTCATGGTGAGTTCTTAGTGACCATTTTAGTTCATGTTTGCTTGCTGCTGTTACCTGCTGCCTTAAAATGAACAAACGGGGTGACGTAACTTGACTTCAGGAGGTAGTAATGAGAGCAGCATCTTCCTTTAACAGAGATCTTCTGTTCTTCATGCGGCAGGGAAGTGTGCTTCCTGTACAGTGCTTTCATGGGTTTCATTGCTAACAATCTCGATAATTTTTTTAAAATTATTCTGAATGTCTTCTACTTAAGCAAGAACACACCTCCTGTATCTTCAGAAACACAAGGGTGATACAGTATTTGGCCTGCAGTGTGCATCCTGGCAATAGTGTAGCCTTCATTTTCCTGTTACTAAAATCAGTAAAAGCTCTGCCTGTCACGTATGGCCCTAAGGACAACAAAACATACCAGTGGTCCGGCTACAGTTAGCCAAAGCAAACTTTAAAATAGATTTTTAGAACAGTGTAACAACATTTTAACAGGAGGAAGAATCGAAAGCAAGATGTACCTGTTTCATTTCTTTTGTTCAAGCTATTCTGTTTCATTTCATGACTTCCCAGAAAGTTTTGCCCTCACCAAAGATGTTAAATTTGAGATAGAAATAGGTAAAGTTAAAGATAATTGAATTTATTTTTCTAATTGAAACCTAACTTCAAATTTCTTACTGTGGGAATAACTGTTATCTCCTTCTGTGATTTGAAATGGTTTCAAATAGAACATAGAACTATGAGCAGAAAAATTTATGATGTAAATCTGCAGTGATGGCATGAGGAGTCCAGATTTTGACTCAAGTATTTCATCAGTTCTGTGTTTTCCTGTGTGCTGAAAGGAAATGCCCTTTTTTAATTGCATTATTTTATTCTGTTGTAGAGAAGGTGATTCTGAAGAAGGTCTGGGATCACCCAGTGACCTTAGTTTGTCTCTTGTCTGTTGGAGCATCAGTGGCAAGTACCTGGCTGGAGCTACGGAAAAGATGGTGAACATCTGGCAAGTCAATGGTACGCTCCTAGCTACCTGTGACGCAGTATGATACAATGTATTTCTAGGGAAGCTGCAAAGTTATCGAATATTTGGTTACCCAAATGTTTACCTCTGTGTGCTCTCCAGTTTAAATGCGTACCATCTTCCACAGAATCTTGTAAACCTCCTTAATTAGAGGAAGGCACTCGCCACAAATGGATGCGTGATTTACAATGAGTTCAGTAGAAAACTGAGCAACATATGAGTCCTTGTTGAATCAGAAGTGTTTAGGTGTGAGGCTTGATCACTCTTAGCAATGTTTGTCTGTAAATACCACCTTCCTGTAGTCTGCAAGAATCACCTTTCTACGTGCAACAGGGAGAATGTGAAAACTGGCTGAAAGAGACGGAGGGAGGGATTGCTAGAGTGATCAGCTGGATGGAATGTCTGCTGGTGAGAGCAGAGCAAGTGAGATTGGTTTATTTATTTGAACAAGAGAGTCTTGGAGGAGGAACCTTGTAAGTGAATACATCAGGAAGATAAACTCTAGGAGAAGCCCAAGGAGAGAAAGCAGCTATGTAACAAGTGGAGAGTGTTGACACAAGGAAAATGCAGACGGATTGGCCATGAATAACTTCAAGAAAGTTTGTAATGTTCAAAAGATTGAGATCTCATATTTTATAAGGAGGAATGACACCTGCGGAAGAAATACTATAAAATTAATTAACTAAATTTATGAGATTGCATTGTGATAGAGGACTGAACCTGATCAAGGAAAGGCCCTTACCAATTCCTTGGTTCAGTTGGTGAGCATCTTTAAGTGAATTCTCTTACATTTCTGCTGTCATTTGTGCTGTAAATGACTAATCCAGCATAATTAATACCTTTAGAACTCCCGTGAGAGGAAGACTATTAATCCATTGTCATTTGTAACCTCTGAAACTTCAGTCTGTTGTTTTGTGCTTATGAAAATCATGTTACACTTCCCAAAGTTAATAAAAGTCCACAGGAGAAGGATAAATTTACTGAGTACTGAAGAATTTAGCTTCCTTCCTTAACAAAATTGTGTAACTAGAACTGATAATTGAGACTTGTTAGCTAGATTTTGTGTCTGTGTAAATTAGTGAACCATTGCTTCGTAGGCTTGTAACTTACACAAATTAGTGGTGTGTCCTAGTTGTAAACAGGATCTCTTGATGTTTTCCCATGGAAAGTATTTGTGTTGTTTTCTTCTCTTTATGAAGATCAAGTAGTTCTAAAAGACTTTTTGGGCTCCTAGGAGGAAAAGGATTATTAGATCTTCAGCCTCACTGGGTATCTGCTCTAGCTTGGCCAGAAGAAGGGCCAGCTGCGGCGTGGACAGGAGATGCTCCAGAATTATTATTAATCGGTCGTATGGATGGATCGCTTGGTCTTATTGAAGTTGTAGATATTTCAACCATGCACCGGCTAGAACTGGAACACTGCTATAGAAAGGATGGTAGGTGACAGTATCATATTAAAGTAGAAACTGAAATTAATAAGCACCCCCACCTCCCCCTTTTTATTAAGCAAATATATAATCTCTTTTTTTATTATTGTTCATGGGATATGACTTCTGGTACTTTATCTGCAAGCATCATTCCCTTGGTTCATGGGAGGAGAAAAGTCGGGAGGATCTCCATTTGCACCCTGATTCTCCTGCAGCAGAGGCAAACAGTTCGTAGCAACCTAGTCGAACCGTGACACTCCTTGCCATCGTGTGAAATTGGTATAGATTCCCTCCAGCCTCTGCTCTCTCTACAGAGAGCGTGTAGTCAGTGTCATCTGAGTTACAGAATTATTGCCATTTTTGCTTGGTAGTTCAGTCCCAGGGGACATCAAGTAGCATCTTTTTGATAGCGTTGTGTGGTTTTGCATGTTGCTGCTTCAGGAAATTTGCCGATTTTTTGGCAGAATCGAGGCAATATCTACGTGCTAAGAAAGGCTCCAGTTGTTTTCAGTGCTTTTCTTAGCAGCATCCCTATCTCAGATATACGTGCAGGATTCAGTCTACTTTTTTTCTTTTCCCTAGCATAGTTCTGTTCACCGTGTCAGCAATATATATTCAATTATTTTAATAAACAGAAAAAGAATGAAAAAACTATTACAAAATCCTTTCAACAGCTGTCATTACAGTGGCACTCAGTTTTAACATTACCATACAACTTCAAGAAAATTTTCAGACCAGGAGTATCTCAAGTAACCTCTGAGGTGGGGGAAGTTGTCATGCACTTCGCATTTTAGACAGTTGCACTGCAAAAACCTGTTTGGCAGAAGTGAAGTTCAGTTTGGTTGAATTAATGTTTGTGTTGTCTGTTCGTGTAGTGTCTGCCACATGCCTTGCCTGGTTCAGTGAAGACAGACCATTTGCAGTTGGCTATTCAGACGGAAAATTGCTCATAGGAGCAAAGGAACCACTTGAAAAAGGAGGAATCGTTCTAATCGATGCTCATAAGGTAGAGTTCGTCTGGTCAAAAGTACTGTATAATTTTTGTAGGTAAAGATCTGTTTAAGCTGTTTTCTGTATTTGAAAGCTATTTATAAAGTCAAGTACAGGTTATTTCAGGAAGACATACCTATTTCTGATACACAGATTAAACACAGTATATTTTAATGGAACAGTCCACCAATTTTTTTTTTTAAAAGGGAAAAATAAATTTTATAGCCTCTTTTGCTATTGGAGATCATGGAAGTGTATGTACATACAGCAACAGAAGTGCGTTAAGGGTACAGCTGTGCATTTCTGGATTTAGAAGACTGTAGTTCTTTTATTTTGTAAAACAATAAATTTTAATTTTGGTTATGTCACGCATTTTTGTAATGCTTAAGTTCCTGTGCAAAGCAAAAGATGTTTTTCTAAATGTGCAGCCACAAAGGCTGAGATCCTTCGCTTGGCTAGTACGTGATAGTAAGTCATTAATAGTCCATAAATGATTTGTTAGGTTAAGAGGAGAATTTCTCCAGTGTAGGTCTAGTGAAAGCACCTTGAGTGCTTCCATGAGCTGGTCATGGTATTTGAAGCATGGTAGTCACAGAAGTGAGCGTGCTGTGACAATAAAACTGTACTTTCCTTTTCCACTACGGCCTGTTCTCCTTTCTTACGTGTTTATGAACCGTGTACCATTAAGGTAATTCATATGACAATTTCATAATGTAAAAAAAGGAAGGAAAAAATGTCTGCTGCTTTGGGGAAAAGAAATCAAGAAAGGTGTGCAATGAAAGGAAAACGTGGTGGTTCTGTGCTTTCCCTTTAGTTTTTCTCAGGAACCTTAGATTTTATTTTAATTGGATAGTTCTGAAACGTATCGTTATGATATCATATTTGTAACTATTTGAGAATAAAATGTTCTTTGTTATTGATAATTAAAAATCACATTAGCTCTGGGAGTTAAATTTCCGCTGTTCTTACTGTGTTGCTTCGTACCGACTGTTAATTTTTTAAAATCCAATAGGACATGATTGTTAGTATGAAGTGGGATCCAACTGGTAAGATTCTCCTGACATGTGCCAAAGAAGAAACAGTGAAGCTGTGGGGCTGCACGGGCGGGTGCTGGAGACGCCTGCACGCCCTGTCCCACCCAGCGCTTGTGAATGGCATTGCCTGGTGTGCGCTGCCAGGGAGAGGACCCAAGTTGCAGCTTTTACTAGCCACGTATGTCATTTGTTGAATTGCTTTTAGAGCTCTTCTGCAGGTCTCTTCTGCCAATCTTTAGTGTCCAGAGCAAAGAAAAGTTCTGTCTTTTTTTTAAATAACATTAATTCAGTAATCCAGTTGTCATGAGATCCATAATGCCTCGGAATTCCAACGGGAAGAGTGGCTCTGGTTATGTTACCAGCGGCTTTCTCCGTGCCATGGGACCTGTATATGATGGTCATACTTGAAATTTTTTTGTTTCATGCAGGTATTTTGTCTGAGAAGATGGTGTTAGTAAAAATTGAAAAGCTGTGGGGTGGGGAGAATGGAAAAAATGCATTTATCCATTGGGAACATGCCTCTCCACTTCAGATTAATTGATACAATACAGTTTCATAGGAAGGTGGTGGAGACTATTGATATGTTAAGTTAATACCAGACTACTGGTGTTTTTTTAGCTAATACCTTTACTTTGTTTTTCTGATTTATCCTGCCTTCCCTTAGAGGATGCCACAATGGTTTAGTGTGTGTCTGGACTGTTCCCCAGGACATAGTAATGACACTGCAGCCCAGTTCAACGTGTTCAGAGGGTTGGTGGGACCAAGAGACAAGTGCCAAGGTAAAAGGGGTAAACTTGGTGTTTCAGCAATTCTCTCTGCTCGTTCCAAAATTGAGGGAGGAGAAGAGTGTGACCGACTTACTCAAATCTCAACCTTTCCTGACAGAAGACACTTGTTAAAAAAGTTTCCATTGCGTTTGTAGATGCGTAGGCATTTTCAGAACAAAAATTAAAAATCACAGGTTTAAATGAATTTTATTTGGATAAAGATTATATTTTGATCTGTTTTCATTTTTTTTTAAGTTGATAAAATTATACTAAAATTTAGCAAGAGTTTAACGTTGTTTCTACATGAAATTAATTTCACCCACATAAATTATAATGTGGTCTTTCATATTGATGTCATTTTGTAAGGGGAGAAACGGTAGAGTGGTAAAGATATTTATAAAATATGATCATAGTGTTGGTCTTTCTTAGTAACTTGTGGAAATTACCTCAGCTTTATGGATGATCGGTATTTACTGCAGAATCCAAAAGCTGTTAACGCTATTCCGTTTACCGTGAATAGTTCACAGTGTGCCATAACTGTGAAATGATTTGCAGGATGGATACAGAAAAGCAGCAGAAGTCAAGTGTGTGTTTCAGCTGAGAGGACACATTACTCCTGTTCGGACTGTTGCGTTCAGCCCTGATGGACTGGCATTAGTATCTGGTGGACTTGGTGGTCTCATGAATATTTGGTCTTTACGGGTAAGATCGTCGTTGATGTACCATGATACTTTTTTTAGTATGAGTATCTAAAATGGCCAAGGCATCAGACTAGCTTGCTTCCCCTGCCCCAGAATGTTAGAAACATTAGAGAATCATGGTATATAAAATAATGGTATAAAGTTACAAAGAATAAAATATAAATTGAAATCGCACATTGAAGTATTTTCTATTTCATGGTTCTGCTATTGATTGATGCTGTAGGCTTTGTCGCGTTAGTTAGGCTTTGCAGAACCAGCCACTCTCTCTTTGTGGTTCAGCACAATACTGTCTTACTTTGAGAACTTTTGTTCCAAGATTCAGATAATGCGGATTATTAAACACTTCTAAATCCTTAGTTATGTTATCTCTTTAGTATGGTAAAACGGTTACGTATTTTTTACTTTTAGTATAAACATTTCAGGTTTTAAATAGTTGTTGAATAGCTTGGGAGAATATCATCCCTTAGGAATGTGATTGAATGCATTTACACAGAAAATTAGCTGTGTATACACGCTGACTCGACACACTTCTTTCCTTAGGATGGTTCGGTGTTACAGAGTGTTGTGATAGGTTCTGGAGCTATTCAGACTGCGGTATGGATACCTGAAGTTGGAGTAGCTACTTGCTCTAACAGATCAAAGGTGACACTATGTGTTAGTGTGCTTTCAAATTTTTTACTAAAATAAAATGCCATTTGTCTGTCTTTATCTTCTCTCTCCTCCTCTCCTCTTCTTTCTTTTTTTTCAGAAATGTGCAGATAGAAATTTCTGTCTAACTGATATATTTTCAAGACACATTGCTCTGGCTTTCAACTATCACCTGACCCTAAAAAAGACTGCTTTCTAATAGTATCCCATGTTTAACTGGGAGGGGCAGGTGGGATACTTCTGAGCCGGTGGTTATAAAGGATGCTGCACACCAGTTACATCACCTTGTCTGTTTAGTGGCAGCAGCTGTAACCGGGCAATGAAAATAGGCAGAAGACAGGGGGTTTTTTAAATTTTTTTTTTGAAGTGCAGCATGAAGACATGTTTCATTTCCCCCAGCAGATAAGATAGTGCAGTGATCTAACTTAATCTAAAGCAGCCTCGACCTCAGAAACTTTGAAGAGGCAGCAGTATTTCCTTCAGTGTTTGCTGTGTCAGGAGCTGCTGGCATCTGAACAGAAGTTTCAGAACAGTTAATTATTCCCAAAGATGTTATTTTTTGTGAATGAAGATAAGTACAACACAACTTATAACTCCTGGTCACGCTGCATGTGGTTCTAAGTATTTTGGGATTCTTTGAAAGTCTTTTCTGAACTCAGACCTAATACTGAAGGTCATATTACAAGGCAAATCCAAAACTGAGGTTGCACCTAAACCAAATACTGAACTGAGGTTACAGCACTCACTGCAATGAATCACAGAATCACAGAATGGTGGGGGTTGGAAGGGACCTCTGTGGGTCATCTAGTCCAACCCTCTGCTTCCTGCCATGTTTGTGTTCTTCCCTGGAGTGAGATTTGTAGTGTTGCCACAGGAATGTGAGGAAGTGGCAAATGGAGATGGCTACTCCCTAGCGTTTGTCAGCAGATTGTTCACCAGCAGAGACAAAAAAGTTCAAGGTTGTGTGCTTTCTGGCCCCTGTGGAAATGAAGATAATTCGTGATAAATCAATGGGGCGGGATAATCCTGCTTTGTGATTTTTTAATTTCTAATGTCTTGTGACTGCTGTTGGACAGGATGTGTTGGTGGTGAACTGCACATCAGAGTGGATATCTTCCAATCACGTCCTTGCAACGTGTAGGACTGCGCTGAAACAGCAAGGAGTTCTGGGTTTAAACATGGCTCCTTGCATGCGAGCTTTCTTGGAACGTTTGCCAATAATGCTGCAGGAACAGTATGCTTACGAGAAGGTAAGAAGAGCTAATGCAAACATACAAAATTCATGTTTGACATGAGGTCACTGTTTGAATCTCAGCTGGTTGCAGTCTTTCACCGCAGAGAACCCAGAAGACTTTACTGCATCCTGCTTGCAGACATCTTTCACTGTTCTCAAAGCTAGTAGTCTCCTAAGTTGAGAATATTTAGAATATTAGAAAAACTTTGATTAAACGTGGAGGAAAAAATTTTTCTACAGGACCAGCTGTGAAGGACTCCTGTTGCTGAGTTGATTAACTTTGCATGTTTGATTTCTCTCTCCCACTCCTCTCGCCTTTAGCCCCACGTTGTTTGTGGAGACCAGCTCGTTCACAGTCCTTACATGCAGTGCTTGGCATCACTCGCTGTGGGCCTTCACCTAGACCAGCTCTTGTGCAATCCCCCGGTGCCGCCTCATCACCAGAACTGCCTCCCTGATCCCTCAGCCTGGAATCCCACGGAGTGGGCCTGGCTGGAGTGTTTCTCTACTACCATAAAAGCTGCTGAAGCCCTGGCCAAGGGAGCGCAGTTTCCAGAATCCTTTACTGTTCCAGACCTGGAGCCTGTTCCAGAGGATGAGCTTACTTTCCTAATGGTAAAATGTGCTATAGTGTCTCAGTAGCGCAGCGTGTTGTTATTGAGCATGTGGTATGATGCAGTTAACATCTCTGAACTGTCAAGATGCATATTCATTAACGTAAGCACCAGTGATAAGTGTAAGTTTATTTTTTAATTATCTGGTTAGAATATGCTGTCAAGATTGTTCCTGTGCTGTAGTCAGGAGTGCAAGTCAGTTGCATGTTAAAAACCAAACCAAAAACCAACCTAGAAACTGTGACAGTAATTTTTCTGTGTGATAGAAGCAAGAAATGTAGAGCTTTACAATACTGTTTTTGAAGTAACGTGTTGGCACGTTTGTACACCGAAGGATTTTTGTAGTGTCAGTTGTCTTTATGACTTGTCATGATATGTAAACCAAAATAGAAATTTTGGATTAAGAATTTTTTTTATCAGCAAGCTTAGAACATTTCAAGCCAGTGTTTTCAATTAAAACTTTAAAAAACCCTAAGCATTAGTAAATATGAAAAGATTATTTCATCTTGAATTTTGGTTTTCTTTTTTTATTTTGATTGCAAGTCACAGGTAACAGTGTCATTGCTAGGCAGGTGTAGTGAGGAAGTAAACTTTGCCTATGGATGAAAATAGTGTTTGAGTCTGCACACGTTCATTCTTACTGCTGTACCGTTCAGAATAATTTGAATGTCAATGTTCTTGGTTAGAATGGAAAATGTTACTGCATAACAGCAAAATAACGTGCACTCTTGAACCAAGTAACTGTGGCTTTGGTTGTGTAGGATAACAGTAAGTGGATCAATGGTATGGATGAACAGATCATGTCTTGGGCAACATCAAGGCCAGAGGTGAGTAAAATTGATGGGATTTTTCTGTTGTTTTTTCAATTTTTTTAAAGATTATAAGCTATGGAAAGTGCTCTTGTTCTAAAGCATTCTTTCCTGCTGTTCCATAGGATTGGCACTTGGGAGGCAAATGTGATGTGTACCTGTGGGGCGCAGGAAGGCACGGACAGTTAGCGGAAGCTGGTAGAAACATCATGATACCAATAGCAGCATCTTCATTCTCTCAGGCTCAGCAGGTGATCGTTTAAAAACAGTTGTGTGCTCGTGTTTTTAATGGTTTGCATGTGTTGTTTGGACACTTTGTCAAAATGCCTCTCTAAATGTCTTTTCAATTTGTTGTTTGAATTCACTATGAAGTACCCCCAAAACATGTGGTTTCACCAAAGAGGAAGTCTGTAATTATTTGACAAATTCAAACCAAGAAGCCATGGAAATCTGACACAACAGAATTGTTTGATAGGAGCATGATTCGAAAATACCTGCACAGCTTTAACATAATGCACGTGCCAGTTTTGCTTTCTGAAACAACACTGACATTCAGTGTGGGATGGTCAGAACAAAATCACAGGTGGGAGTATGTTGTGATTTCGCTCGCTGCAAGGTTTGCCAACAGGGGTAGCAAGTTTCAGTGAAGCAATTTTTGTTATGGTGTGATGGGGTAACAAAACTCCATTAAATATGGGGCGAGTGAAGTCTTACTTTCATCAGGTTGTCACACGGGTACTTGCAGTGTGACAGGTCTCTGTTGTCTTGATAGGATCACAAAGAAAAAAAAATTAAGAGGAAGCTTGTACATTGTGATGCCAGTGTTACAGCGTTGCTGCGTCTAACACAGAAATCATTACAACTCCTTTGTGTCTTTCTAAACTAGGTTGTTTGTGGTCAGAATTGTACTTTTGTCATTCAAGCTAATGGCACAGTTTTGGCCTGTGGAGAAGGGAGCTATGGGCGACTGGGACAAGGAAATTCTGACGATCTGCATGTGTTAACAGTCATTTCAGCACTGCAAGGTACAACTGCTGGGTTTGAAACAAGTCGGTTGATAAAGCACAAATAAGCATTTAGGCAGTGAACAGAATTATTTGTCTTGATGCTGGTTTTGCAGATTTACGCATTAAAATATTGTAGTCTTTAATTAAAAAATTGAACATAAACTAGACGTTTATTTCTTCTGAAGATTGAGTAGTAATATGTTAGAATTCCCTGATTTTAATAAGGCTTCAGGAAAAACGTTTGCTCAAGATAGGAACTTTTCATTTCCAAAACTAACGGCAGGCCAAAAGCATAGGTTGTACATGATAAGGTGAAAGTTTTGTTCAAAATAAAAGTAAGTAAATTGCTAGAACAAGAGAACTGTTGCTGTGGTCAGTTCCTTTCCGCAGATGTGATTGGCTGCCTCTAAGGGCACTTGGATAAATGTATGTTAAGAGTTTATTACAATTTATTCTGAACTCTGGTTTCTCACTTTGCTTGAACAGGCTTTGTTGTAACACAGCTGGTGACTTCGTGTGGGTCTGATGGACATTCCATGGCTTTAACAGAAAGCGGGGAAGTCTTTAGCTGGGGAGATGGCGATTACGGCAAACTGGGCCATGGGAACAGCGACAGACAGCGCAGGCCTAGGCAAATTGAGGCGCTGCAAGGAGAAGAAGTGGTGCAGGTTCCAAAATCCTTTGTGTCTCCTGTGAACTGTGGTAACCTGGTGCTAGGAATGTTCCAGAACCATTGTCGGTCTTGGCAGTTTGAAGTCGTATACTAAATGAAAAGAGGCAACTTTTTACTTCTGAGCATTGTGAACCGAGTTGGTAATTTCCAGTAGAAGAGTGTTAATATGACAGAGCTCATTGTTGATGCCTAATGTTAACTGACAGTTGATACTGGAGAAGACTGAAAATTATAAAAAGCGTGGAGTAGAGGGATGATCAAAAGATTGTTGAAATACAGACATGATTCAGAAGTTTCCCTTGGTGCTTGTCAGGTGTCTTTGACCTACAAAACTCGTCACCGAGACCACCTCCCAAGTACTCACTGTGTATTAGAACAATGCACAAAACCATATTCAGCTTTGACTGGAGATTTCTTTATAAAAGTATAAAACATTCGTACAAGAAAAGCAATCAGTGTGCAGAAAACAGTAGTTGGTAAAAATAAAAAAATAAACACCTGAAAGCCTTGCTTCACACAAATACCTGCCTGTCCTCCTCCTCAGTGTTACCGTTGAGCGGAAGAAGAGAGGAGTTGTTGGAGAAACCATTAATACCGAAATACCTGTGTTTTAGCTCTTTATAAAGTGAATATAGTTTAGGGGAGGAGAAGGTATTACATATTTACATGTAATAGCGAATATAATTCTCCCCCCCAAATTTAAAATGTATGTTTATTTTGCTTCCAGATGTCGTGTGGCTTCAAGCACTCAGCTGTGGTGACAGCAGATGGGAAACTTTTTACGTTTGGAAATGGTGATTATGGCCGTTTAGGACTTGGAAATACTTCCAATAAGAAACTTCCAGAAAGAGTGACGGCGCTGGAGGGTTACCAGATTGGACAGGCATGGTTGATCCAACACTAGCAATGTGTCTTTGTGTAAAGATGATGTTTTCAACATACTTAAGTGTTCTGGGTTTTTTTTTCCCACCTTGGCTTTTATTTTGATTATGGTGGCAGAACTTGACTATGCATAATCTTTTTAAATAATTACTTTCCTGCCTCTTTTAATTCTCTTTCTGCAAAACTGCCCATATTTTTTAACAGTTGAACATTTCAAGATTGAGGTGGTTTTAAGCATGAATTCATGAGCTATTTTGTATTCTTAAACAACGAGCATGTGTGGCATAATACTGTCCTTTGGTTCTAGGAGCTGAGAGGAAGCAAATACCTAAAAAGTACTACTGTGGTTCTAAATGTCTTTAAAGCACTCTAATAAGCAATGGAGATTTTAATTATTTTTAAAAGAATACTTATTTTTTAAAACACGATTTTAGTTTTCTTAAAGGTAGTTGGGGTGTTGGAATTAGCAGTGAGTTAGCGAAATCTGTGGTAACAACAGATTCCTCTCAACCAGGTGGCCTGTGGACTCAATCATACTGTGGCCGTGTCGGCTGATGGCTCAATGGTGTGGGCGTTTGGAGATGGAGATTACGGTAAACTTGGTTTGGGAAATTCCACTGCAAAATCCTCGCCGCAGGTCAGAATTCATAGAGAAATTGTTCTTTGCATAAATTATCAGTGTTGTTAAACGTGTTACACAGTGTTCAGAGTGTAATTCGTAGAAGATAAATTATTCATTCTATCCACTATACTGTTCTAATAAAATCTAGCATAAATAATTCTGATGATATGTTATGCTGAGCCTGAGGCTTTAAAGGATTTCACGTAAATAATAGTGACCTGATCTCAGTGGCAGTGCAAGTAGCGAAAATCTTAGGATTAGCTTAAATAAGAGAGCTTGCTTATTTTGGAATTTGGGGGGGGGGAGCTTGTTTACACACGTCTGCTTCCTCCCATGCCAGTCCCCACTCACTCCTAGTAAATAAAAGGTATTTTGAATCATTGTACATAGAATAAGGTGTTAGTTCCATAGAAGAACCGTTTCCTGTACTAATTTACAAGCATTAACTGGAGTTATCCTACAATGTATGCATTGCACGGTGGGAAGTATAAAAGTTCTTTTTGGAAGCAGGAGTTAGAGATCAAATTCATGTTTGCTTTCTGTTTGTATTCTCATAATACCATCTCTGTTTTTCCTTTCGCTTACCCCTTAGAAAGTGGATATTCTTTGTGGAATTGGAATAAAGAAAGTTGCCTGTGGAACCCAGTTCTCTGTTGCACTGACAAAAGATGGCCACGTGTATACTTTCGGACAAGGTAGGGCAGTCTGGCACTTGGCCCTTCCCATCTAGAGGTTTGGGGGTATTGCAAGTGAAAAGGCAGAGTATTAAGACATTTGTAAGACTGACCTAATGCTACTTTTTAGATTTGTGCTGACCTAATCTGAATTTTGGAACTTCAACAATGCGATTTTCACATAGGCCTAAAATCCAGATTTGCAGCTGTATCTAGTGTGACCTCAGGGCAGCCTTTCAGTTTACTAATTCACTTTTTGAGGAGTGTTTTCCTAAAACTTCATTGAATTTCACATACCTGGAAACACTGGGTTGCTAAAAGTTTACTTTGTCCAGTAAAGCATATGCCTACACACATCGTTTAAAAATCTGGACAGGAGAATATCCAAGTGCACTGAATTAAAAACAATTTAAAATAAATAAAAACTGCTCAAGTCAGTTAATTCATGTGTATTCTAAAACCGTGCAATGAGATCTGCAAGTCTTGTTTTAATAGAATTTGATCTTGTTTCCGACTGAAACTGAAAACAGCAGCTTTAGCCACATTAATGAGCACTGCAGGAAGCACTGTTCTGTAGCAGACGTATGTGAGGTTTCTCTCTAACCATTGCACTTGTGTCCCAGTTCCAAGAGTTGTGGAATTGCTTTTATTCCCTCCCTGACTTCTGCCTGTAAGTGAAATTAACTTTCTAGTGCTCTTCACATAAATAGAGATGCGCTTGTAATTTTAGATCGTCTGATCGGTTTGCCAGAAGGTCGAGCTCGAAATCACAACAGACCGCAGCAAGTCCCAGTGCTGTCAGGAATCTTCATTGAGGACATAGCCGTGGGAGCGGAGCACACGCTAGCTTTGTCGTCTGCGGGGGATGTGTACGCCTGGGGCAGCAACTCCGAAGGGCAGGTACGCGCTGTCCTCTGCTTGGTTCGAGCCTTGAGGAGTCTGTGATTGTACTTTACAGATGTGGCTGGAATATCTTGATTTTGGTGGAAAAGAAAGCTTTTATTTTTCTTCTCCTCCTTCCCTCCACCATAATAACCTTTTGGGCATTTCCATTCTTTTCTTTGTCATTTCCTATGCTCTGACATGGTAGTGGTTTGGGAGAGCACTGAAAACGTTCTACCCAAATTATTCTAATCAAAGTTTTTTTAAAAAGTTACAATTTTTTACCTAATTCTTGAACTGTCATCAGTTTTTTCAATATCATAACATTTATGGTTGGTGTCAATCAGATTTGAGAGCTCTTTAGATACTTGTGATACAGAAAATACACAGTAATTTTTTTAGAGAGTAGTTTTTTTTAAGTCAGGAAAAAATACTAGTAAATAATAAATTCTGTCTTTTCTCTGGGACTCCAATTTCATCCCTGCCCTTAAAAGTCCATTTTCCTCCCTCACTCCAGGTATAACTGAAATTTTTGAAAGGACTTCAGCTTTTGACAGTTGTGCCTGCTGCGGGTGTAAGAAGGAGCCTCTTGTTTGGCTGGTGGTGTTTCAGGAATTTGGGGCAAAGTTTCTCCTCTGGTATTTCAGGACTGAGTTTCTGAGAAGGGCTGTTGAGCAAGTTCTTTGGAATAATTTCTGAGAGGAACCTCTTTGGTTTTTTGGTTTTTTTTATAGGGTGCTTACTTGGTGTTTCTGGGAGATGAAAAACTGTTAGGGTAAAAAATTCAGAGAAACTTCATTCTGACAGCCTGTTTTATGTGATTTTCCTTGCAGTGCAAAAAAATGGTGTTATATGATGTGGTGAAAAAGAATATACTCTTACAATATGAAATTTTCACTTTTAGAGTATGAAATTAGAGTATAGTGTGATATGAAACTATCAGTAAGAAGTCAGAACAGCTTCCGTAAACTTTCTCTTTACACAAATTATGTTTTCACAAACTGTTGTTGGAATTTATGATATTTAAATGGCACAAAAGAGACACATGAGCTGTGTTGACTATGCCTTAGCAGCATAGATAAATTCCTCAGTTGGCAAAAGAGCTTGCAAAGAATCTCTAGCTGTTTTAAGTTCTTTTTGACACCTAGATCTGCTCCTCCCATTGAGTATGGATGCAATATTCTATTGAAAATAAAATGTAAATGCTAATAAATAATTAAAGATCCATACGATAAATATTTTTTTTATCCCAGTATAAGCTGTAAATTAATAGCATTTTTTACCATTTACTCTGAATTTTTGCTCAGGGTGTTTTACAAGTATCATCACAGTTGTTGATTCTTCTTTGTCCCTTTTACATCTGTTGTCAATTGTCAGCTTGGACTGGGCCACACCAACCACGTCAGAGAACCAACCCTGGTAACGGTGCTGCAGGGAAAGAATGTCCGACAGATCTCAGCAGGGCGTTGCCACAGTGCTGCCTGGACTGCTCCGCCCGTTCCGCCGAGAGCCCCAGGTGAGGAGTGGAGATTGTTTGTATGGGCATTTGGTGAGGTCTTTCTGTTTCCTGGGGGATGAGCGCAAGAAGAACTTCTGAGTATTTGGGACAAAATTTGTTTTGTTCTATATCCACGCAGGTTTTCAAATGGTCTTAGACTCTGAATTTTGCTGCTGTCGTGGTTTAACTCCGGTAGGCAGCTAAGCACTGCATAAGCTTCTGCAAAGAAAATCAACTCCATCCCAGCCAAACCAGTGCAGCTACCCTTTATGAAATGATGCCTTTTTTCTTTTTCTGTGGTAGGTGTTTCGGTGCCTTTACAGCTTGGTTTGCCTGATGCCATTCCACCACAGTATGGGGCGCTGAAGGAAGTGAGCATTCACACCGTAAGAGCAAGGCTCAGACTGCTGTACCATTTTTCTGACCTCATGTACTCTTCGTGGAGATTGCTCAACCTCAGTCCCAATAACCAGGTAAAATTCCATTTGAAAAAAACAGCTTAGCCATATCACTAGAGAGTTTCTGACCAGATCAAGGTGGATCTTAGTAATGGATTCTATAGGTTTTTTCTAATAAATTAAAAAAAAAAACAAACCATAAATCTGGATAAAACCAAACTTTGTCAAAGTACCATTCTGTATTTTTGCTTATGCTGACATTGACATGTCAGTGTTTCAGTTTCCAAAAGCTTGCTACCCTCAAGGCTAAAACCAAAAAAGGATAACCTGTTTCCTGAAACATTGAAGTGCTAGTCATTATTACGAAGGGTTTTATTCTGTAAAGAATGAAATTAATATCCTTTATTAATATGTGTATTCTCATATGGCTTTGTTGCAGAACAGTACATCTCATTACAATGCTGGAACGTGGGGAATAGTTCAAGGACAGCTAAGGCCCTTGCTCGCACCACGAGTGTACACGCTCCCCATGGTACGCTCTATCGGAAAAACGATGGTTCAGGGGAAGAACTATGGGCCACAGATTACTGTGAAAAGGATATCAACCAGGTCAGTGTTGTTTTCACAGGCGTTGCATGAGACTTCAGACAAATACTGGGATTCATACATTTTCCATAACTGTGGGCATACTGAGCGCTCTCTGTACAACGTTGTTAATCAGGTGCCTTCAGTAGCCTTCATGTGCTTCTGAGTTACATTGTGTGGCTGTGTCTTCTTTTTTTCTTTTTTCTTCTCTGAAAGAGGTCGGAAATGCAAGCCCATTTTTGTACAGATAGCAAGACAAGTGGTAAAACTGAATGCATCAGACCTTCGCCTGCCTTCCCGTGCCTGGAAAGTGAAACTGGTTGGAGAAGGAGCTGATGATGCAGGCGGAGTGTTTGATGACACGATTACAGAAATGTGTCAGGTATGAAAAGTCTGTTGGTGTAAAATGCCTGAGCAGAGTTTTTGTTCTCTCTGGTGGCTTCTAGTATTTTTCACATTTCCTTTTTGCAGCCTAACAAATACTTGTTCTTCAGTCCTGAGCCACAGCGCGAGCGCTGCCTACTCAGGAATGTCTCTGAGGGTAAAGACATCTTCCCTAGACTGTGGCAAGGGGATGCTCTAAGGCCACGCTGTGACTGGTATTACAGTAGGCCCCTGGGAATTCTGAGATGGCCCCTACACGTTCTGGGAGCAGTTTGCAGCTGCCCATTGTCCAGCCAGTAGCTGCCAGCAGAGAAGTTGTGCTATATTCCATCATTGCAGTACATACCATGCATTCAGGGCAGAAACACCTCAGGCAGCGTTTCTCATAGGTGTCACCTCTCGGGTTCAGTGCTGGAAAGGAGATCAGTAGGAGGAGGTGCATGTTTCTGCCTGTCTGTAACCAGGATTTTATTGCTATTGACAGCATAGCTGCCTTTCCAGAGTCACCTGGAAGGCTGCAGACTACCAGGGCTGGGATAAAGCTGGTCAGTGCCAGTGTGTACTGCCTGTAGTTTTCCAGGCATGGTTCAGCCCTGTGACACAACTGTGGTTGTAGCAAGGAGAAGGAGTCAAGACAATGCTGGCTGGAGAAGCTGGTGGTTCCTGAATCTTCCAGGAGCCTCAAAACCCGAAGAGTGAGGATTGGTGAGGGTAGTTAGTGTATCGGCTGAGTCTGGGACGCGGCAACAGCTATGGGTGGTGCTGGAGCTGGAACTAGAGTTAGAGGTAGGATACAGGCTGAAAGAAACTCAAGAACTCAGCTTATTAATGGAATTTCTGAAGCCTGTAAGACTAAAGTAAGGTTGATTCAGGTAAGGGCTTGAGGCATAGTCTGGGTTCTTCCCCAGACAGTTTGTGTTAAATATGAGATGTGGTGAGGGTTTGGAACCGAACTCATTGAAAAATTGCTTCGTTTTTCGTTCTTGAAAAAGCTGTAGCAGTAGGGTGTATAGCTTATGGCTGCTGGTTATTTCAGAAAAAGGTGCCGGGAACGTATCGCAGAGCAGTCGCAGTAAAAATAACCATTGTAGTCTGACATATGGGCAGGTCTTGAAATAAACGTGTATTTATTACTAAAGATCATCCCTACCACGTTTACTTTCTCTTACATGTTTCACATTAATTTGTAAAAAGCAGTCATCACTATAATGGAATGTTCTGACTTGTAATGCTATAACGTCATAATATTTCCATAGTAGGTTTGTTATCCCTATGTCTAAGGCAGCTGTTTTGTTGTTGATTTTGAAGGAACTGGAAACTGGAATAGTAGACCTGCTTATTCCTTCCCCAAATGCCACAGCTGAAGTAGGCTACAATAGGGACAGGTACGTTGTCCAGAGTTGGCTTTTATTGCAGATGTTAGTGGGTGAAAATTAAAATCTTCTGTTAACTGGTTTTTATACCAAGGGGTGAGACTTCATGATTGTCTGTAGTGTATTTTTGCTTCAGGTTGTGATGTTACTGTATTGTGGGGGAGAGGGCATGGCTTTAACATGAGCTTCCTAGACGGCTGATGGCAGAATTCAGAGTAACATCAAGAATGCTGGGCGCTGCGGTCAGGATTAGTTCTGCCTATCTCGGCCTCCGTTATTGTAGCAGCTAAAGATAGCAACAGTCTTCTGATCCGGACACCCCTTGCTGCTCATGGTGTTGACAGCTACTGTGCTGTGCTGAGAAATGCTTTGGCTTTTACTTTAGCATATTTTCACTGATATTCTTTGTTCTTTCAGGTTTCTCTTTAACCCTTCAGCATGTTTAGATGAACATCTGATGCAATTTAAGTTCTTGGGCATTCTCATGGGGGTAGCTATTCGTACAAAAAAGCCATTAGATCTTCATTTGGCTCCAATGGTCTGGAAGCAACTTTGTTGTATCCCACTCATCTTGGAGGATTTGGAGGAGGTAGATCTGCTCTATGTGCAGACCCTCAACAGCATTCTTCACATTGAAGACAGTGGGATTACCGAAGAAAATTTCCATGAGGTAAGATGTGAAAGTTGGAGCTTTTAGGTTTATTCTGAAAGTGGTTACTTTATCAGATTGACCTTAACTTTGGTATTTATATAATTCAGTGACTCCATTACTGGGATAACAAGCACTTCGTATGTCTTTGGAATAGTTTATGATCTTATTGTAGTTGTAGGTGACTAATAGGAAACTATTAAACTCGGATCACTAGAGTGACTTACGCTGAACATACTTTTCCTGTTTTGCTTAACAGATGATTCCTTTAGATTCTTTTGTTGGCCAAAGTGCCGATGGAAAAATGGTTCCCATAATCCCTGGAGGGAACAGCATCCCGCTGACCTTTTCAAACAGGAAAGAATATGTGGAGAGGGCGATTGAGTACAGACTCCACGAAATGGACCGTCAGGTATGAGTCTCGATGCGACCCTGTCCCCATTGTTAATGTGAACAGTGGCTTTGGTTTATGCAAGTTTCCATTACAGTTTAGTAGAGAATAAGAAAAGCTTGGCTTTCTGCATCTCACCTGGATCCTGTGGCATTCTCCCCCAAACTGTTTTGGGGTTTTATTGTAAATTAGTCCTATTTTTCTTAGTAATTGCTCAGTTGACAGAAGAGCATTAGAAATCAGAACTTGTCTTTCGTTAGAGAGTAGCCTTACTCAACTGTCAGCCCCACGTCAGGAAAGAACCTGCAGTTGTGCATGCTGCGCACTGTAACGAGATGTGGTAGCAACGTGGAGACTAGCTAAAGTGAACATGTGTTTAACTTAGAACTATTTCTCTTCTGCTTTAGCACAGAAACTACAAATATTGCATTATATGTTTTGAGAAGCATTAATTACCTATTTGCATACTTTTTTGTATTTTTTCATTTGTGTAGTGAAGCTTGTGAAAGTAGTATACTAATTACAGGCTAGGAAAATTCTTTGCCTTTTTCTCAAGAGATGGAAGTATGCATGATGGTGTCTGCGTTAGAAAAGTAACTTTCTCGGCAGAGGTACCAAATCCGAACTAGAACAAGTTTGGACTTCTTAAAATATGACTTTGTTCCAGCTCAGGCGTATGGTATATACACAGGCTTTTGGTTCAGCCATCATCATTTGTGCTGCTGACTTGTACCTTTTTAAGTTCTTCCGGTTTGTATCAAAACTTTAATGTGCAATCGCAATTAAAAATACCTGTAGTATTCTCCAGGATTTGGAGAGAGGATACAGCCCTTGTGGGAGTGCGTATGTGGGAGGCTGTATTTGGCAGATGTTTGGTGGTTCTCTCTCTTTACCCAGTTTCTCAGGTGGTGTTAACTCTTGCATTTGCATGGCACAGTAAGTGGCAGAGGTGAGACAACGGCACTTTAAATGTCTCCTCTTTTTTGGGCCATAGGTGGCTGCCGTAAGAGAAGGAATGTCTTGGATTGTTCCAGTTCCTTTGCTGTCTCTTCTGACTGCCAAGCAGTTGGAGCAAATGGTCTGTGGGATGCCAGAAATATCAGTGGAAGTTCTGAAGAAGGTCGTGCGATACAGAGAAGTGGATGAGCAGCACCAGTTAGTGCAGTGGTTCTGGCATACCCTGGAAGAATTTTCAAATGAGGAGAGAGTCCTTTTCATGAGGTTTGTGTCAGGAAGATCTCGACTGCCAGCCAACACAGCTGATATCTCTCAGCGATTCCAAATAATGAAGGTTGATAGGGTAAGAGGCTGTTTTGGGGTTTTGTTGTGTGTTTCTTGTTTATTTATTCCTGTCTTAGTATAATCTGTCCTTTGGCAATAGGAGACAGGTTTCGATAATTGTAAGTTTACAGGGAAAGGATGGGATGGGATGGGATATGCTCTGAGCTACTAAACCCAAACATTTTGATTGTGCACCAGTACGCGCACTGCATGGATTGCAGCTGAATTCATTGGGTGCATTTACTGCAGTTATACTATTGGAGGTCAAGACAAGTTCTTGCACAAGAAACAAACCTTCTTGTATTGCAGCTTGTCCACAGTCATTTCCTGTTCCAGCCCCTTTTTTCATTTGATAATTTTCACTCTTTTTAAGTTTTAGATCTGTGTCAGTGGCAACATGTAACCACTAGTGAACTCTAACGTCTTAAAACCACAGTAACGAGTTTACAGTGTGTTACTGTACGTACCGGATGCATTCATTTGGCAGCACTTCTGGGTTTTGTGCAGTGAAAGCACATTCTCTGTGAACTATGTGAATCAAAACCACAAATCTATGATAGCAGTGGTCTGCCTGTCCTCTTTGGTTAGGTGTCTCAAATTGCCGCGTGTTAAGGCACGCTATGGTATGTAATTTGAATATAGCGTGCTATCTTCCAGTGGGCTGCTAAATAGTAGTGCAATCAGCTTTTCAGGTTGATTTGAATTTCGTTAGGGGGTTGAATTCTTTACAGAGCAGGTGATACAGCAGTAGTTCTGTGCATGCTTAAGGGTGTAAACAAGGGAGGCTAGTCTGATGCTTAAAAGGAATTTTGAGACAGAATATAAAAATGCTGAATGATGGAGGCAAGGAAGGGAGGGAGCAGTGAAATACGGATATGTTGCATTTTTTGCTTCATTCACAGCTTAACAGTGTCCTGCCTTTTATCCATTTCCACAGCCTTACGACAGCTTGCCTACCTCACAGACTTGTTTCTTTCAACTGAGGCTCCCACCTTACTCCAGTCAACTAATCATGGCAGAGCGTTTGCGCTATGCAATCAATAATTGCAGGTCTATAGATATGGACAATTACATGCTCTCACGGAATGTGGACAATGCAGAGGGCTCAGACACAGATTATTAACATTCTGTGAACGAAATCATCTTCCTTTTACTACAAATAGTGCCCTAAGTCCAGTTCATTGTTGACAAAATTTTACAGTAACCATAGATGTTTTAGAAGCATAAAAAGAGATGTTGATAGACAGTGGCCACATTTTAGTTACTCTAAATGTAACAAAAAATTAGATGTTTTTATTTTTTTGTGATTGTAAAAAAGAAAAGAAAACAAAAAAGTATGATTGGTAAGTTTTTTTTCCTCCTTTTTTTGGTCACTTTTGATAAGTTTGCATGGAGACATTTTGGTGCATTTTTGTTGGGAATAGTACATTTGTAAGCCCTCTCACTGAACATGAAGAGTTGTACATTGTGTATAATTGTTCATTAGCAAGGACAGTTTTACATGAATATTCACATATTTATTTTGTTTTAATTTGAATTGCCTGTGCAGGGTTCCTTATGCAGAGAAAAATAAAGCAAATTCAAGAATCAGTTGCTCGTATGCATTTGTGAACTGTGATTGGTTTAGTCAGTCATCATACTGTTACGTTTTGTCTCAGGAGATTAGAGTATTACAGTGTTTAGACAGGATGTGACATTTGAAGCATCTTAAAGTGTTTATCGTCAACGAATCTGATGTCTGGTATTGTGCTCTGCGTTCTTACTGGCTTGGAGGTACTGGCTTTTTTGGGTATACCACTATTTATTCCTCGTACTTCAGTACAAGTTAACGTTGCGCTTGGTTCCTGCTTGATTTTCATTGAAGTATTTTTCTCCTCCAGAGTAGTAGGTAGTTATTGACAATAATAACGTGCTGCCACCTTGGCTCTGAAACCTTTAAATCTTTAGTTAGAGGCGGGGGGGGGGGAATCCTTTTTAATACACAGATTGCTGTAATTGATTCCGAATCAGAGTACAAAAAAATCAAAACAAAAGGGGCAGGGTGGTAGTCCTGGCTGTGGATTCTGTGTGCATTCTTAGTTTATGCTTTTGATTTTACTAAATTTCATGTGATTGGTCTCCTCTTGCTGCAGGTGTAATTTTATGATGATCAGCAGGGTGTGGCTTACACGGTAGTGTTCATGTTTGTTAGGACAGTAATGTCCTGTACCAAGAAATTTTTGTTCTCTGTCTTAGGGAAGTGCTGAAGAATGGATAATTCCCCTGGGTCTCTGTCAAAACTGTGATTTGTGTCAAACTACAGCTGCTGCTTGGTGTTCGGGAGCAGGTTTAGCTGGGCTGAGGACAGGGGGAGAGTCTTTCCCCAGGTGAGTGGCTGCTGCTCTGCCCTGGCCTTTACCCGCCTCGTTTGTCTGACCCGAACTCTGGGTAACGATGCTGCGGGGCCTGAGCGCCAGCGAGAGCATTTGTTAGCTTAATCTCACCCGGGGCGAGACTGCTCCATCCAAGTCTGGAGAAGAGGGTGGAAATGCCGGCCGGTTTCCCTCGTGTGACGGTTGTACGTTAGCAGGGATCTATCAGGAAACTTCCCAGTTGTCCCAGACTGAACTGGGCATTGCTGCCAGCTGGTAGTGGTCAAAGGGCTGATGTGGTAGGCTGTAGAAGTTTGCAGATCTGGGTTTTGTCTGGTGAAGTTGTTTTGGTTAGGACTAGTTGTTGGTTCATGAAAAAGGCAAAAGATTCTTGAGCTGTGACCAAGAATCAGGCTGCAACATGGAATATCTGGAGGGGGCTTTCAGCAATTTTGGGGAAGGGGGGCCTTACGGCTCTGAAATCGTGCAGACGTGGTTTCCTGCCTCATTAGGTATTATGGTTCAAATTTGGACTGAGATTTCTGGTGTCCTGTCACTATGTTGTGGGGGAGTATATTCACATCTTGGTCTAAATTTATAGGTGTAATACATAAAAAATAGAAGGTTACAAATGAAAGGGGAAACTGCTGTATAAAATCCTGTATTACTGCCCACTAGACTTCATTCATGTGTCTGGATTTGTGCTTCTTAATTTGTCAGTCTGTTTGTCAGGCACAGAAAATAATAGGTCTGCCTAAAAATTACAGTTTTGTATGGACTGTGCAGTTGGCTTCTGGGATATTGAGGGTAGTTTTGGAGGCAGTTTACAGCGAAGTGAAAGGGGATGTTGATATTGGTAAATATGGATGTTGATTAAAGGATTGTGCTTGATTGCTTTAATTGAGACTTTTTAATTGATTGTGCTTGTCCTTTGAATAGTCTATCCAAGCATCATTAAAACTATCGAGCGCTTAATTTTTTTTATTTTATCCTGCTGTTTGTTTTTGCCATGATTATATCGTGCATACATTCCTTTTAACCTGCTGATTGACATTTTTCTATTGCTCAGGAAGCTGAGTGAGACTGGAATCGTCTTCAAATTTCTTGCTTAATGCTTCTTATCCATAATTGCATACAAAGGTAAAGAATGTACCGATTATGTCCTGCTGTTGGAGACCATCGGAGAAAGTTTGGACTTCATGTCAGTTGAAGGGTATTTTGCAAACTTCTCCCTCTATAGAAGGGGGAATAAATATTACCAGTGTACATCTGCCTTCTGTAGCATAAGTAGGTCATACATGCAGTTACTTAAAGAAAAAAGTGCTGAGCTGTGTCTTGTAACAAACCTTGCAGTGGCAGCATTGCTGCGCTGGGCAGTTGGCTGTAGCGAGGTGGGCAGCCGGCGGTCTCCAGGCGTTGTAACTGCGTTTCCTTCCCACCTTTTGGCACTGGATGGGACACGCGTGACGGAAGCAGGGAGGGTCAGTGGTAGCGGATGTGTATCAGAGGTAGGCATAGGTGTGTGACAAGGCATTTGTCTAGACCAATGTCAAAGTAACGTGAGATATGGAGGTGCACAGTAAGCTTAGCAGCATTAAATTCTAAACATAGCTAGAGAAAAACAGCTTGGAAAGCTTTAGCCACAAAAGTAATGTGCTGGGTAGGTATTCTACAGGAGAGGACTTAGATGCCCACAGCCTGTGCCTCTTGTTGAACATGGCCACTGTCTGCTGCTGCTTATTTTCTGCTAGGCATGGGTAGTTCCTAACCTTTTCCTTACACTGCCTAACTCTCCAGAAGCACTCTCTCTCTGTTTTGTAAGGCTGTTGCTTCTTGAAGCCCATAGTTTCTGTTCCTTACTCTGTTTTTACTCTGGGATTGGATAATTTCTTTTCTACCACCTCTGGTTTTCCAATTGCTTTTTCCTACTTTTTTCCCTTCCCCAACTTGGAAGTACATCCCTGGCCTGCTGGGCTGTCAGGCTCTCAGACAGCTGGGTAGCCCTTTGAAACGGGCAGGCGCATGACGAGAGAGAAGATGAACAGCCAGGCCCCGAGCCTAGAGGCCAGCAAGTTACCTTAACAGGGTGAAGCCTCCCTTTCTGGAGCTGGAGGTGGTTGTGCTGGTTCATCTGACAGAGCTGGAGGGTAGCGTTAGGTGGAGTGCGTGTCTGTTGGGCTTAGAGGGGACTGGTAAGAGCAGACTGTGTTCTGGAACCGTAGCAGTCTCCAGAGAAGAGGTGAACAGGGGTCAGGTCAGGTCTGGAAGTTTGATTTAGATCTGTCACTTACTTCTTTTGATTGGGTGATGGAGTCTGACGGCAAAAAAATAACCGCGGCGGGTAAGGAAGCAATTTCTCTGTGCTGCAGGACTTTGTTTAATTTCCGTTAGCCTTGCTGTCAAGCTGAGCTCTGTTATCTCAAGGGAAATCTGAAGGGTCTTCTGGACGTTGCCTTTCCCCTGTTGTGTAGGAAAAGGCACAAACTTCTGGTAACAAAGTCTTGTTTGCCACTTGCATCTGATAACCTGATGCAGCTTCCAAGCAGGATCTTGGTTCATGTGACCTTTCTTTTAGTACTTAGTTAACAAGCCTCCCTCCCTCTGCACCTGTTCAGTTAGAATTAGGGTCTGTGAAGGGTAAGAAATGTTTCAGTAATGTTCAGAGAACTCTGATGGAAGTTAAATGGCTTGGAACTAAAGAGAACTGTTAACAGGCTTCCATCCTTACATAATATAATACCCTAAGTAAAATGTAACATTATATACTCAATTTTCAAATAAGATTGCTGAGTAAGAAAATGTATTATTGATGCCAAAAAAACTGATCAGCAAAGCTGTGTTCAGATTTTACCATGTCATGAACAAAAATATCCCCATTCAAGGAGGGGAAGAGCAATGTAATATGACTTTGAGCATTTGTACACAAATAGGCAAAGGAACCAAGCACGAGAGAGTGTTCCAAAGCCCGAAGTTTTAGCTCTGTAAGGTAAAAAAACACACCACCACCACCCGCTCCTCCCCGAAAAAACCCTCCCCTCTGAAACCATCGTGATGGAGAACTGGCAAAAAGGCCTAAATAGTATGTAGACCGATGCAAACCCGCTTTCCTGTCCTGTAGCTACTTGAAAATCCGGTGGGTGTTACAGCGACAGCAGTGTGCCTCTCCTCACAAAGTGCTTGGAGAGCTGGCCTCGCGAGCAGGTCTCTGGTTACTGAGGTGACCGTACAGAACTCCTGCCTTGTTTTGGCTTGTCAGCAGTGTGTGAGCCTGCTGGTTTTTCACCAGTTGTGCATCCACAGTAAGGATTGTGTCGACATCCCGATTTCCACGACAGTATGTTTGTTCAGCCCAGCAGTCTCCTTTCCAAGTTGCAGGTGCTGTTTCAGGATTACTGTTTGTCCTTCCTGGATGTGTGTCCAGTCTGGTTCCTTACGTTGTGGTGCATAAGGGTCCTGCTTTGAGTTTTGGCACTGAGTTAGTGAAATACCAGGATATTGCAATGTCATCCCATTAGATATCTCTTAAGTTGTGGAGATGCACTCATGAAATTAGTTTATTTGTCTTCCGGGTGAGTACTCATACCGGTCATGTGTTTCTCTAGAATTTCAGCTCTGTTTGACAAAGTTTCTGTAATGCTGCCATTTATTTCTTAGCTCAGCCAAACTGTAGAGTACCAAAGGATACCTGTGGGTCCGTTAACCAGGACGGAAGGGGGGGAGTAAGCGTGTTCACTGGTGTTGGGAGCTGTGAGGTCCTCTTTCCATTTGGATACACCCAGGCGTTCATAGCTAGCTCATCAGTTCTTGCGGACGAAGCAACAAGCCCTAGGAACCTAGTCCATTAAAATATTTTTGCTGAGATTGTTTGAAACTGACCTTCCTCCAGACACTGGTTGCAAATACAGTTTTACAGGACCACTCTTGCAGTGAAAATTGGCTTCAAGTGGCATTTTGATAGCAGGTTTCCTTTCTTTCTGTTCAAAGACAGTGTATCAGTTGAAATAAATCTTTCTTTCAAGCCTACCTGAGGCATCAGAGCCATGTTCTCCATTTTGACACCCCAAGCATTTTCTTCACATAGCTTTAATAAAAGGAGCAACAGTATTGTAAAAATAATACAGTGAGAAATTGGAAAAACAAACCAGCCATTTCTGAGTAACTGAGGCCTAACTTCAGAGCTTTTTTCTACAGTTTAGATGCCAGCGAGAGGGGGAAAAGGTCTGCTTTACTTCCGCAGTA